GTGGGTTGGGGTTGGGGCTTTCCCTCTTACGAACCACGATCATCACATCTTGTCTTGAGAGAGTGTGGCAAGGTGTGTTTTTTTTTTACATGTCATGGAGTACACGAAGAAACTATGATGGAGTTATGGGGTTCTCATTGTAATCATGTATAGCATACATCTCATCCCTATCAAGGGAGGTGGTCCTTTGTTTTTGTCTGTTTTTCTCTCATTTGGGTGGGCAGTTCTTCTCAATTATTTCTGGAGGGAGTTGTCGACGGAGCGAAATCAGAAACAAGGCATTGCCATGATGAGTGTTGGAGCAAAGGCACTCTTTGATGGTTGGATCTACTAGGATCTAGCTATTCCCATCAATTGAATAAACATGTGCACACATCCCAATTCCACTGATGATGGTTCCAAACTTCCCGGCTACTAGCAAGCATCTTGAATACCGTGTGGAAGCAATTCCGCGCGGTTTGACTTGAAATTGCCATAGACAGCCGTCAATAGACGTCCGGAGCCGAACGCAACGGAAGAGCCGGCGGCATCAATCCCTCCTAGTGCCTGCCCCCTTAGCTGCCGACGGAAGCCGTTCCTTTCTCCTTGGTGTACCTATCTATCTCTCGTCTCGGGGGTGACGTTCACTAGTATCTATCAACCACACATACACACACACACATACACAGAGAGACGAACGCTTGCACCACGCCGCAGGAACCAAGGCAGGGAGCAAGCACACCTCCCTTCCGGGGCCTTGCATCGCCCGCCCGGTGAGGGGGAAGGGGGGGTGGAGGTTGGAGGCAGCACATCATCTAGCCCTATTCTTCAGCCCGTCCAGTCCGGACGGACAGGTTCTGGACGCAGATCTGCTTACTCTCTCTCTCCCTCTTCCCTCAATCCTCTAAACCCCGAGCGCGCAGTTGCCACCCCGGTAAGCGCTGACATCAACTTCGAGGTACTTGTAGATTCGAAGAAACCGGCCCCCCCCCCCCCCCTCCTTTCTCACCACCCAGCCATCGGAGGATGCTCCTGTCGGCAGGGGGGTGGAGGGGGCCGTGGAGGGAAGAGGGCCGGCCGGAAGACTTGTGCGCTGCCCCGCGAGCGAGTGAGCGAGAGGCGATTGTATCATCACTATCACATCCTTCGAATCTCAACTCACATACATACATACATCTCACAGGCTACAGCACACATACACACGCACCTTACACATATCTCTCAAGCCTGCATGCACCTCCCTCCCTCCCTCCCTCCCTCCCACCACCTCTCGGTAACCAAAAGCGTCCAAGTGTCGAATTTCCTTTTCCAATGCTTTCCTTCTTCTCCTCCCCAAGTTGCGAGCTTCTTTCTGCCCACGCACGCCAAAAGATAGAGTGTGGCTGGCCCCTTTGGGCGGCCCCGCAAAGGCAAAAGAAGCAAGGCTCAGGTACGGAATGTGGCAGGTCGGACAGGCAGATGTGCCTGCCACCGGGTGCGCACCGGCAGCAATGCAAGCCAGGACAGCGGCATGGAGAGAAGCATGGGGGAGGCATTGGTTGGGGGGAAGCGAAAGCTGCCCTCCCTCTTCCCCTTGTCACTTTGCTATCAATGGCTGCGGGGGAGGGGGGAGGGTTGCGAGGAGACACATTCTATACAAGTAACAACAGGTAGAGCAAGTCGACGAAGTGGGCGAGCTTGCGGGCTTATTGGCTGCACGGAGGGTTGCAGTGCAGTATCTCTTCGTCGGTGGAGTTCCCTCTCAACTCCCTCAACTGCCCTGTGGTGGTGTCTGTGTGTGTGCATTTGTGACAGCTTCCCTCGTCGACTGGGGGGGGGAGAGGATGGAATGCGATAGGACAGCCACGACAAGAGAAATGGAAATACATTGCTTTCTTCTTCTTCTCTCAGGAAGAAAGCGGGCGGATCGCGGACCAGCCGGATTGGCGTGCGGCCGCAAACGCACACACACACACACACCTGCGCGATGTTGCAGGAACGACTTGCAGGCTTCTAGAAGCTCTGCACCGGTTCAGGTCGGCCGAACGCTGCTACCCAAGGTACCTCCCAGTCCTACCTGCAGACGGGATACGCACCTGTGTGAGAGGAGGGGTAAGGTAGGTAGGTAATGTACACAGCTTGTACTTGGGAGCTTGTTTTCTTCCCACCCTTTCTTTTTTTTTTTTTTTTTTTGCGCCACAGCCAAGATCCCCCTACTGCAGTTGACGGGCGGCAGATGCAAGGATTTGCGGTGGGCTGGAGGGCCGCAACGGGAGGCATCCCGAGGTCTCCTGATGATGATGTAGACTGAGCGAGAGAATGTTAGTTGGAAATCTCGATGAGATAAGAGGAAGCCCGGGATGGTTAGATAAGGATAAGGATTGAAAAGGAGATAGAGATAAGCGCTGACATCGATGATTCATGATCATGATCAAGAGGATGTAACGAGCGACACAACACAACATTACATCCACAAGACAGGGCTTCGTGTTGGAGGCCGGTGTGTGGGAGGGGGTTTCGCCCGGTGAACGGATCGCCGGCCTGGAGCTTCGGAAGGCCTCCCGACTCTGGACTGGAGACCCATTGGTACCCCACGTGCTGATAAGCCCGGAATGAGCTTCAACATTATCTTATCGCTATCAGCACCAGGTCCCCACTCAAAAATTTCAGAAATCGTGTGGAAGCGGCGGTAGAGTGTATCTCCAAATCGACCGTAGAGAGAGAGAGAGAGAGAGAGAGATAGAGAGAGGCTTGTAGCAGCGACACACCCTCCATTGAAGAGCACAACACAGCCAGAATGGGCCGCTCAGTGAGGCAAAAGCGCAAGAACCGGTCGTCCCGGGCGACCGTGCAGACGCACAACAAGTCCAAGAAGAAGCTCAACCCTCTGGGCAACGACATCATCGCGAGGAACTGGTCCGTCTTCTTTCCCTCTTCTTCTTCTTCTTCCTCTTCTCACTACTTCTCTTCTCCCCCTCCCTCCCTCCCTCATCCTCGATTTGCGCCCTACACGGGAGCCAGTTCTGATTTTTTTCCCCCCCCCTCCCGCTAACCCCATACAACATACAAAAAACAGGAACAAGAACGAGACCCTCACCCAAAACTACCGCCGCCTGGGCCTCGCCACGCGCCTGCAAAAGGTCGCCGGCGGCAGCGACCCGATCCTCACGCGCGCCCCGGACGGCAGCGCCGTCGCCCACGCCGCGCGCCCGAAGCGGGACCCGCTCACCATCGACCCGACGACGTCGGGCAGCGTCGGCGGCGCGGTGCGCGAGGTGCGCGTCGAGCGCGACGCCCGGGGCCGCATCGTGCGCGTGCTCGACGGCCGGGCGCCGAACCCGCTCGCCGACCCGCTCAACGAGCTCGACTCGGACTCGGACTCGGACTCGGACTCGGACTCGGAGATGGAGGAAGGTGGTGGTGGTGGTGGTGGTGGTGCAGCAGGCAGAAGGCAGCGCCGCGCGGAGGAGCACGAGTGGGGCGGGCTGAGCGACCGCGAGGAGGGCGAGGGCGAGGGCGAGGACGAGCAGGAAGACGAGAGCGGCAGGCCCGAGGTCATACGGCAGCTGGAGAAGGAGGCCCGGAGGCCCGTGCTCCGGACGCCGCGGCACCAGAGCGGGAGGGAGGTCGAGTGGCTGCAGCGGCTGGTGGACCGGCACGGCGACGACGTGGCGGCCATGGCGCGGGACCGCAGGCTCAACCCCATGCAGCAGACGGCGGCCGACATCGCCAAGAGGATCAAGAAGTGGCGGAAGGACTAAGGGTGTGTGGGGTGTGGGGGGTGGTGAGACAAGCTTGTTTGTCATTTCCTCTTAGTTGAGCATATTCCCAGGCGTTTACGGTGTGTATATACATTTATATATTTGTCTTATTTCACAGGCACAAGAGCCGGTGAATTACGGTAAAAAGGCTAGGCACGGTAGCAGCCTTTTTTTCACGAACAGGTTGAGCGTCTAACCCATGTCAAAGGAGGAAGAGCATATAGGAAATTTGTTCATGAATATACATGGTATCTGATGACCTATCAACGCCGTGGAGGAAAAGCATGTGGCCCATAATCCCAATAGGCCCCCTTTCAAGTCTATCTTCCTGTAGCTTGGAAAAGGGACCGAGCACCCGTTTACCAAGGCTGTGTTTCTATAGTTGCAGTGTCCAAAGCAAATTTGCATCCATCCGTTCCGTCTTACACCCATCCACCTCCCAACTCCCCCCCAGCTACCACGTCACTCGTTCGTCCGTCCGTTTTAATGTTGCACAGTGCGGTCATAGTTGCCCGCCGGGAACTGCACGGGCTGGTCGTCGTCGTACTCGGACACGGCCGGCTTCGCGTACGGCCTGCCGGCGCCGGCGCCAGAGTAGCTCGAGGAGCCGGCGCCGTAGCCCTCGCCGGCGGCGGGGACGGCGTACTTGTTCCGGTCGTCGAAGGGGTTGTCGTCGTCGTTGCGGCGGCGGCTGCCCATCGACGAGTACGGGTCCTGGGTGGGCTCGCCGTAGCCGTAGCCCGTGTCGAAGGCGTGCGGGTCGTGCGGGTCGTGAGGCGCCGGCGCGTGGTGGCCGTCGTTGTCGTGGTCGTTCATGTTGACGGGGGCGTAGGCCTCCTCGTCGTGCGGCGCCATCGAGAAGGCGGCCTTGTCCGGGTCGATGTTCTGCGTCTTGTTGGCGCCGCCGCGGTCGTAGCCGGGCAGGTGGCCGTTGAACTGGTAGTACTTGAGGGTGTAGATGCTCAAGAAGGTCGTCACGCAGAAGAGCAGGCTGCCGGGGGACAATCGCCAACGGTTAGCCGAGCGGGCCCCAAGAGACGCACACTTTCAGCGGAGGCAAGGGGAGAGAGACATACAAGATCATGACGCCCAGGCCCACGATGGCCTTGCTGATGCTGCAGCGGTTGCCGCACGAGTCCTTGGTGTTGTAGGAGGCCTGTGTCGCAAAGGCCGAGAGCCACAGGAAGGTGAAGACGGCGTCGACGATGATCATGGCGTGCGGCTCGGCGAGCTTGCGTGTCCTCGGGAAGCGCGGGGCGCCGATGAGATAGATCCAGGCGGGTATGGAGAGGAAGCACTGGGAAGATGCACATGTCAGATCCCGGATTGCGGAGAGGAGCGGCAGCCTCTTGTGGCGGGGAACAGGTATTCATCGTAGAGCGACTTACCACCGCGAACGTCCAGCCATTGTTTCCGTCAATCTTTGCGCCATCTCCTCTGAAGACGGCGATCTCGAGACACCAGATCACGAAGCTCATGACAAACTGCAAGACATGGAGGATGAGCTTCGTCAAGGGGACGCGCTCGGGGTTGAACTCGATTTCGTCCCACATCTTGGGCACTGCTTTCTCTGCGCTCTGGCTGTTGTTTTGCTGTCGAGGACGATGGCGACAGTTGTGTTGACGATGATGGATTCGAGACCTTGAAGAAAATGGGGGTTGCTGGGCAGGCTGTGTGGATCACGACCTAGCCGCTTGCTCCGTACTGGACTACTGACGTCGTAGGGTAGCAACGTATCCGCGGCGAATGGGGGGTTCGGAGGTGCGTTGGAGCAGTTTGTTTTCGGTGGCAAGCGAGAAACTCCGCGGAGAGCAGACAGGTGAGTGAATGGTCGTGCCGGGAAGGAGACGTGTTTGTTTTCTGGCCGTCGAGGTTTTGAGAGATTGCGCAAGATGTCCGGGCTTGTGTGTTTATTGCTCTCTTGGACGTCTTGGCGGGTGCGAGCAGGGGTCAGCATGGCGACCCAGGCCCATCAACAGATACCTCGATGCTAACAATTACCTATACGCACCTATCATTGCTGAGCAACATAGCGGCTCACTCAACCACCTGAAACCTGCACTGCTGGTCCAGGATGAAGTACTTTCGTTACCAGCCTTGGCGCCGGGCCTCCCAAAGGTGAGCAAAGCCACGCCGGGCCTACGAAAGCTGTCGCCGCGCGTGGTAGTGAGCCGTCTCAGGGCTCATGCTAGTGGCCGCAGCCCTGCGCCACGCTGGAAGCGGTGGTTCCATGGCACCCAATCGCACCGTTGGCTTTGGCAGCGGCTGAACTCTAGTGGGAATGTCCGGGACCCTTAGCACCCTCGATAAGGCGGATTCGATTGCCGGACCACCACCGGATGGCAAACCACGACGGTGCTATTTTTGTTCTCCTCACCAACGGAAAGCTTCCAACGAACAGAAAGGGTATCATTGTATCGATCTACTTGTATTTACTTGAATACTTATTAAATTCAAATCCCGGCTTTGGCAATGCTACCTACCTATCTCACAACACATTCTTTGCTAATGTTCTCAGGCCCGCCACATGGTTTCGCAATTGCTGACGACCCAGATGCTGCGCAAGTCCTCCACGTTGTTGACTCTACAAGGACACATTCTGCATCGCCTCAACTGGGATCCCCCCCACAAGCGGAGAGTCCGGCCAGGGCATCCTTCGTCTCTTGTCATGACGTTTTAAGCCTCAATCCGGCGAAAACTCTCAAGCTCCGGGCTGCTACCCAGAGGCATTCCAGTCAAATCCCGACAGTGAAATAAGGTTGGACTAGGTCTCCCTCAAAGTTCATGGAATGGAGAGAGATACCCAACCGTGCGCTACGTTGTCTCGAAGGACCCCAAGGAGACAGCCAATGAATCTGGTTATTATTGAGATGTGACTGAGTTACCGGATTCGCTGAACCCAAGACAACGGGCTGGCTGGCTCGGGGCTCTGGGGAACAGTCCCAGGTAGGTTTGATATCATTGAAGACTTGGCATTCTTCCAACCGGCTGAACATGGCTGTTTCCTGAAGACGTCATCTTCAATCATTGTACTCTTGCTGCCACCTCCCAATATTGTCTTCTTCGAAAATAGTCTCCTCGCAGTCCACAGATTGAAAGGATGCTCGCTCAACTTGGTCTGGCATGCCCCGCGACCGGCAAATGTACGCCGATCGCCGATCCCGCACCTGATAAGCCAAATGTGTGGTGAATGACTCTTCTCATTGCGGGAATGTCCATGACTCTCAAGCACACGTCCACTCCTTTTGGCAAGGTGAAGCATACATTATCAAGCCAAGCCCTAGAATTCGACACCACGGAACGCACAACTACGACGCGTTCTTGAGTTGGCTGACGGGAATATTGCGATAGACGACTTGCATTGCATCGAGTCGGGCGGACGCCGATTCTGGAGACTGGATTCGGCCTAGGCTTAGCGCACTCGTCGGACAAGGGCTACCGAACATCGCCGGGCCCTCATTCCCTCATTTCTAAGACCTTTGGTACTTTGTTATCTCTCCGCATTCTCCGATCTTCCTAGATTTTTCTTTTCCTTCCAACGTCCCGGAAATCTGACTTCTCAACCATCCGCTCGACGCTCCGAAATTGAGGTGCGCTCGACTCTGCGAGCCCTATCGCAGACTGTGTAGCCGATAAGTGCTTTCGCCTTCTACTCCGGCGGAACCTTCCCTAAGGATTCAGGATGGAGCCGAGTGGTCGCGTGGGCGACGAGGAGCAGCCTCATATCACTGCCAACCTGCCCAATGGAGCCGTGCATGACGAGAGGACGCCGCTCTTAGACGGACAATCTAAAACGGCTCCGGTTGCCAACGGCGGCGACGGTCAAGACGAGGAGGAGACGTTGGTGGCCGAGGAACTTTCCACGACCCGGCTTACCATAATCCTTGGTACTGCCTACCTTGGCGTGTTCCTGGGCGCCGTTGACGCTAGCATCATCGCCACCCTCTCGGCCCCCATCGCAAGCGAGTTCCAGTCTCTGAGCCTCCTCTCCTGGCTCGCCACGGCCTACCTCATTGCCAATGCGGCGTGCCAGCCTATCTCCGGACGCCTGACCGACATCTTTGGGCGCGGCCCCGGCCTTGTGTTCAGCAATGTCTTCTTTGCTATCGGCAATCTTATCTGCGGTCTGGCGCAGAGCGACGGCGTCATGATCCTCGGCCGTGTCGTTGCTGGCATCGGCGGCGGCGGGCTGATGTCCATCTCGACCTTCTTGGCCTCGGACTTGGTTCCCTTGAGGAAGAGAGGAATCATCCAGGGCATCGGCAACATTGCCTATGGCTCCGGCTCCATGCTGGGCGGTGTCTTCGGAGGTCTCGTCAACGACCACTCTGCCCTGGGCTGGCGGCTTGCGTTCCTCGTCCAAGTACCTCCGGTTGTGATTTCGGCGATCCTGGTCTTCTTCCTGGTCAAGGTGCCTCCCAAGGTGTCAAACAAGTCGCTCATCTCGCGCATCGACTTTGGCGGAGTCTTCCTGATCGTCACCTTTCTCGTGCTGCTCCTGCTCGGGCTGAACGCCGGCGGCAATGTCGTCTCCTGGTCCCATCCGCTCGTCCTTACTAGCGTGCCGCTGTCGTTCGTCGTCCTTCTGGTCTTTGTCTGGTGGGAGTCTGGCAGCAAGCAGCCCGTCATTCCTGTCAGGCTTCTAGTCGAGCGCACGGTTCTCACCGCCTGCTTCACCAACCTCCTGGGTACTATGGCCTCCATGATGCTGCTCTTCTACATCCCGCTCTATCTGCAGGTCTTGGGCCATTCCGCCACCGCGGCCGGTCTGCGGGTCCTCGCTTCTTCGCTGGGCGTCTCCATCACTTCGGTTGGTAGCGGCATCCTGATGAAGCGCACCGGTCGATATCTCAGCCTCGGCATATTCGGCCTCCTCGTCTTCGCCTCCGGCGCCGCCGTCGCCGCCACCCTCGACGCCCACTCGCCCGACTGGAAGCCCTTCCTGACCTTCTTCCTCATCGGCGGCGGGTACGGCATGATGCTGACGGTCACGCTGCTCGCGTGCATCGCCGCCGTGGACCACAGCCAGCAGGCCGTCATCACCTCGGCCACGTACGCCTTCCGGTCTGTCGGCGCCACCGTCGGCATCACCTGCGCCGGCGCCGTCTACCAGAACCTGCTGCGCGACCGCCTCTGGGACCGGTTCGGCGACCTGCCGGGCGCCGAGGAGGTCATCAACCGCGTCCGGGACGACCTCGGCGAGCTCGGGCGGCTGCCGCCGGGGTGGTTCGACGGGGTCATCGCCAGCTTCATGGACGCGTTCCGCGGGGTGTGGTTCCTCGCGCTGGGCTGCGCCGTCGGGGCGACGATTTGCGTGTCGCTTATGAGGCAGCACACGCTGCACTCGACGCTGGAGAGGAGGTGAGAGGGAAGATGGATGGGGAGCGGGTGTTTACGATTATCCTCCTTGGAGGCAAGGCAAGTTACAAGGTGCTGTAAACGCTGATTCGAGCACTCGAGAACATTAGACCGAGGGCGCTGCGAATTGCCGTAAACAGCTATCGTCATCACGCACACTGAAGCTGTGCCTTTCACTGTACATTTTTAGATCTGTATATACTACGGAGTACCATAATGTATTTATGGTTATTGGTATTGCATTGAGGGCCGTTTTGGTAAACATACAATTCAAAAGTCATTTCTCGCCATGGTAGAACGAAAAGAGATCAACCAAAAGCAAGGAACATTCAGTAAAATGGAAAGCATGACTCTCCTCTTGTGCCGTTATTTCCTCTCAAAGTCGAAGCCCATCCCTGTGCCAGTCGATGCTTTATAATAGCGAAGGGCTGCTGTAAGTGGGTCCTTAGCCCAGGCCTTACAGCACGCCTGCCCGGCGCTTGTTGCTGTTGAGGGGCACATCCATTTCTGGAATTCAGTTGACATCAGTCTTCCATTAGACGCGACGCGCCACAACGACCGCTACCACCATCTTTACTTACTCGTGATAACGGCAGCACTGGAGGGCTCCTCCTGGCTTCATCGTCGATCCAGCTACCTTAGGTCTCAGGTTGATGCTCTCACGAAAATGCTCTGAAAGAGAATAGTCAGGTTAACTCCCGGTCAATGCAAATGCGCCCCGGTCCACGGCCATGGAGAAATTCCTGCGGGACTGGCGGCAGGATGCCTTGAACAAGGCGCAATACGAGTCGGCCATCTTCATCGGCGACAAACTGCTCGCTTTGACCGGTATGTCCCTGGATCTACATATGAAGCGGTGGTGACTCAAGGACCACATGATCTTCTACGAATGCATCGTAACTGACCCGATAAACCTTTCTTCAGGCGACGACAAAGATGCCTTCTGGCTCGCACAGGTCCACTTCGCGACGGGCAACTATACTCGTGCCCAGTCGCTGCTGTCCAAGTCTGATCTGATTGCCCGCAACCCTTCCTGTCGCTACCTGAGTGCCCATTGCCTCGTGAAGCAATCGCGTTTCGACGAAGCCCTCGCTGTGCTCGGCGAGCGAAACCCCATACACCTAATACCGACGGCAGCGAACAAGCGCAAGACACAGAACAACACCACATCATCCTCCTCCTCCGGCCGAGCTGCGCCGGCCGAACGCAGCAAGAATGGCGCTGCGAAATCTGCAGCAGAGAGGGTAGGCACTCCGGTGCAGGACGAGACGGCGGCAGAGGAGGCCGCGAACCGACGCTACGAGGCAGGCATGTGCTATCTGCGAGGCATATGTTACGCCAAGCAGAATGCCTTTGACCGGGCAAAGGACTGTTACAAGGATGCTGTGCGCATCGACGTGCAGTGCTTCGAGGCGTTTCACCAGCTCACCAAGAATTCGTTGATGGCGCCGGACGAGGAGTGGGACTTCTTGCAGTCCCTGAACTTTGAGTCGATATCCATCGAAGGCGACGCCGACGTGTCCTCCGAGGCAGCGGACTTCACAAAGATGCTCTATAGCACTCGACTATCCAAATACCGCAACCCCGAGGCATTCACCACGGCCTCGGAATGCCTGGCCTCGCACTACAACCTGGCCACGAATCCAGACCTTCTTCTGGCCCGTGCAGACTTGTTATACACGCAGTGTAGATACAAGGATGCGCTCGCCATCACGAGTTCTATTCTCGACGACGATAAGTACAACTTTAGCATATACCCTCTACACCTGGCTTGTCTGTACGAATTGAGGCGAAAGAACGTTCTGTTCCTTATCGCTCACGACTTGGCGGACAACCATCCAGAAGAGCCATGCACGTGGCTGGCCGTGGGCATCTACTACTTTTCCATCGACAAGGTCGCAGAGGCGCGGCGCTACTTTAGCAAGGCCAGTATGATGGACGCTCACTTTGGACCTGCGTGGATAGGGTTCGCGCATACCTTTGCCGCAGAGGGCGAGCATGACCAGGCCATCTCGGCCTACTCGACGGCAGCCCGGCTCTTCATGGGCACGCACTTGCCGCAAGTCTTTCTGGGGATGCAGAACCACGCGATGAACAACATGACGGTGGCCGAAGAGTTCCTCAAGACGGCGTACGGGTTATGCAAGGAAGACCCGCTGCTGCTCAACGAGATGGGGGTCGTGTGCTACCACCAGGACCGGCCGAAGGAGGCGGCGCTCATGTTCCGCAAGGCGCTCGAGGTGGCGGACGACATCGACAGCGACCCGACGGCCTGGCTGGCGCCGCGGACGAACCTGGCGCACGCGTACCGCCGCATGCGCTTCTTCAAGGAGGCGCTGAAGCAGTTCGACGAGGTGCTGCGGCAGGGCGGGAAGGACGCGGCCGTCTTCTGCGCCAAGGGGCTCATCCACCTCGACCAGGGGGAGCCGGACGAGGCGGTCCGGGTGCTGCACGAGGCGCTCGCCATCAGCCCGCAGGATCCCATAGCGACGGAGCTGCTGAACAAGGCGCTCGAGGAGACGGCCGACGCGGACCTCGGGGTCGGGCAGCCCGGCGCCGCGGGGGAGGAGCCTGGCGCCGTCGAGGCGGAGATGGTGGGCTTTGAGAGGGAGCTGCTGCAGAAGCGGCAGGTCGCGCGGGCGAGGATCGCAGGCGGCGGCGGCGGCGGCGCTGGAGGGAGGCACGCTGCCAGCAACGGGGCGGCGGCGAAGGGGAAAGGCAAGGAGCGGATGATGGTTGGTGGTGGTGGTGGTGGTGGTGGTGGTGGCAGGCGACGGGCGGTGCTTGACGATGACGACAGGGGGAACAGCAGCATGATGGAAATGAGTTAGATCCAAGTTGCTTCGGGTACTGGTGCTGCTTTAGTTGGTACTCTAATGATATGCCACATGATTCTTGGACGTAAATGATTCCTTCTCCCTGGAAGCTCAGATCTACAGCTGTGTCAGGGTGACTTCAGCCCCGAAAAGTGAAACTATCTGAGGATCAGCCTCACCAGATAACTTATGATATGACGTAGATTCATCCAGCTGTACAAGTTGGCCTCATACTCCCAATTTTTGATCTTGACTCATCTTGAATGAGGCCGAGTGACTGTTTTCCGAGCAATGGGATGCGCCTGCCTGTGCTTGGGCTGTGCCTGCCTATTGTTCGTGTTAGTGAAGTCGCAATCGAGGCCCGGAAGGCACGTGCGTCCAGTGTGTGCCCCACCTCACCAGGCACAAAAGTGACAGGGCGGTGCCCGGCGGCAGAAAGCAGATTTGCAGGCTCGCATGGGCCACCCGAGCCCGGTATAAATATCCCGCCTGGCCCCCGAGCTTTTGGGATTTTTCTTCCCCTTTTGGTTCTCCATCCTAGTGCACGGGCGTGACGCAAAGCAGTGAGGATTATTCCGAGCTTGCGTTTTTGCTAGTTGAAAACTATACTATGACCACTCCTGTCGGGCTTCGGCCTGGCAGGGAATTTTTGGCACCTTTTTTTCCCCATTTATCGGAAGCACTTTTTCGATGGAGAGAACTTTTTTTTTCTTTCATTGCCAACGCTCCCTGGCTTGGAGTGTGGTGAAGAAGGAGAAGGAGGAGGAAAAGCAACAATACCGTCTTGGGGAAAGCGATGCCTACATCTATAAATCGTCGAGGGGGTTTTTGAGCAGATCGCTGGCATGGCGGCTGGGGAAACTCGAAGAAGCTGTATAGGTACACTGTTTTGTGTGGCGTGTGAGGTGCTGGCGATGTTCGGATATTTGGTCTTCTGGTGGGCGCGTTCTGCTTCCATCACGGCGCAGCTAGCTCATTTATCTGCTTCTCAAAGAAAGTACCAATCATGTCGATATTACGATGCAGAGAACGGGAGGCTTTCAAGACCAAGTTCGAGCTACCCTGCATTATGTCCAGTTTTGCTATTTTGAGCTTGCGGGTAGGGTTTTTAAGCCTCACCAGTATCTGGCAGGGACTCGCGTGCACCATTATCCGAGGCAAGGAGCAAATAATCTTCGAACGGCTGCTGCTGCAGTAGTAGTAGCCGTTGACAGTTCATGCCTGTCAATGTCGATCCGCAGCTCTATGCGATGTACAAGCCGTTCGTAGCCTTCGTGATACCACGCCCCGGTACTCAGCTGTACAAGTAGTTATGTTTTGATCTAGACACACACTCAAGTCAAAGCTCGGCTGTGGCACCGGTTGCCTGGCACGCCTGGCACTCTGGCCCGCCCAGTCGAGGTTGGATCAAGATCAGTGGGGTGGCGCCTGGGGCACTGTCCCTTCGGCAGAGTCGCGTACTGTGCAAACTGGGCTGTACCTAACTAAGATCTTGGCCCAGTGTGGACTTGGGATAGCAGAACCGGCACTGGGATGCTTCAAAGGTCAATCACCGTGTCTAATTATTATCTCATCATCTCATCGCCAGACCAGGATTATTTCTGTGACCCTACCCGCCTCATGGCTCAAGGCTCAGGATGGCTCGAGCTTGAGCGGCCGTAAGCAGAAGAAGAAGCTGGCAAGAGAGCTCCGATTGGCAGAACACGAAATGGGAACGCTAAAGCTGAAGCACCCGTGAAGATGAAGAGCTGGAGGAGGGCGTGTGGGGGGGGATACTTTACACAGTGCACAAACAAAACGCCGTGCTGGGAAGAATCCATTGGATTGGATCCGATCGAAGGGAGTGCTGATGTGCGGTGCTGCGCTGCTCTGCGCGGCGCTGCGTTGTGTGACTGGTGTCTGTTAGGCGGAAAGGCGGGTGGTGGTGGTGCGTGCCCGCAGCCCACTGCCTTCAGGGAGGGCTGTCATCCACCTCCCATCCATGGATCAGACTGACCCGCTGGCTGGCTGGGGGCTTGGCTCCAGTCACTCGCTTGTTCGCTGACTTTGCCCGCCGCCCGCCGCCCGCTTTGTCTGCTCTGCTCTGCTCTGCTGTGTGTCCTCCGTGGCTCCCCATTCTTTGTCACTTGATCATCATCGAGCCTTGACCCAGCACTCCATTTCATTTCCTCCCCCATTCAAACCCAAACCACGGTTCGACCCCGAACTCACCCACCACCGGCCAGCACGCCAACCGCTCTCGCGACACTCGACACATATCGCCGTTGTCGCCGCCGCATTCGCTCGCTATTCTATTTCACCGTATCACGATTTTCAACCGCTGCAGGCGTTGGGGACGAGTGCATGTTGCGGGAAACGGGGCCTGCACAGCGATAGCCGTCGGCGGTTTCGCGCGACTCTCGCCACCACAAACCGCTCACTCGAGCCTCACTTCGCCGACTCTCCGCCATCAGCTGCATCGCCGAATCTCACTGAAGCGATACAGTCGCCCATCGCGCTCCCCATCACCGACTTTTCCCTCGCCTCCCTTGCCCGACCGGCCCGTGGTCGCAGCTCGAGAAAATTGCTCCATTCTCATCCCTCGGCTCGTCCGCCTCCACAAAGTCGACCATGTCCTTCCACCCCCAGACACCACAGAGTCCCTCGCAATTGTCTCCCAGTACCATGGAGCCTCTCTCAAGCATGAACAGCTCAATGACCTCAATCACCACAGCCTTGCCGACGCCCGCACACAGCGTCAACGGTAGCTCCCTCCCTGCCGAGACCCCTCACGACGTCACCATGGGCGACGACTCGCCTCAAAAACGCAAGCGCGCGCTTGACGATCTCGGAGATCGAGAGCAGAAGAAAGTCCACATCGAGGATCGCAGACTTGGTATCAAAGACCTCCACCAGGATGTCGGTGAGAAATACCTGCTTTGCCAAACTCGTAAGACTCCCTTCTCTCCATGGCACACCCGCACCCGCTTGAGGACGACAATGGACAATGCTTTTTAGCAAGCTCTTTCCGCCATGTGACCCATGTGACCCCCTTATTCCCGTGGAATCAATATCTTTTCTCTAGATCTGTTTGAGATTAACCTTGTCTTCCGCTAGCGCTCACGCCGACCTTTCCCAACGTCTCTGACGACCTCTACGAGGTCTTCAACCTGACGGGTATTGCCGCTGAAGTAGCCCGCACGCTTCCCAACGGCGAGAAGAACGCCATCCGGAAGACGTATAAGGGGCATATCAAGAAGCTCGGTGTCAACGGCCACTTCGATTCCGTCAGGAGAGAGCTGAACGACGAGAATGGCTTCATGGCTCTGATTCACTGGCCCGAGCAAGAATGGAACATGCGCCACGTCAAGGGCAGAGAGATCGAGCTAGGCCTGTCGGCGGAGACACAGGCCAGCCTGCGGAAGGCCATGACGATGGCCAAGGGTCCGATCAGGAAGGACGTCTGGGACAGTTCAGTGCTGGGCGACCTGTCGTCGGAAAAGCTCGCCGCCGCAAGCAAGCAGTCGTCTTCTGCGAGACCAACGGCGCCCAACACTCCTGCTCACTTCTCCGGCGCTGGAGTACCGCGGCCCAAAGGTCAACTGCCCTTGGGCCAGGATGGCAGACCTCGTCGGAGTATCAAGAAGCGGAGCTATGGAGACAGCAGTTTCGAGGGATACGGAGAGGGCTTCCCTGACGATGACGGAGGTGCAAACAGTGGCTACTCTACTGGCGAAGGCGAGGGCGCCGGCCAGAAGAGGAGGAAGAAGGTGCTTACTGGCCTGTCTGATGTTGCTCGAGTCTTTACTGACACGCCGCAGAACACTGGACCTGCCCAGTTCTCTACTCCGCCAGTACGGCAGCAGAGCTATGGCCCAGGGATGGTCGGGGCTTAGGAAGACGCCGAGTTTTCAGACGAATCTCGTGCCCGTGCCCGGGGGGGTCGGGGCGGTTGGTGAACCGAGACTGGGTTCGCCACCAGAAGCAGACACCGGATAGCTCCGTTCGATACTCTCTATACATAGGCAGGGGGTGATACCCGAGGAACCTTGTCGTCGTCGATTCGAGCAATCAACAGCGGCAGCTTCTCACAGCCACAGCAGCCGAGAGGACACACGAGTATCGACGAGCCCGATCACGCAACCTTTTGAGGCGAAAGCCTCGTTGTTGGATGTTGCGTCAGTGGTGGTTCTGCAGGGCCAGCACAACATCCCTGTTTGTGTTGGCAAGATATATACATCTTCCGACCAAAATTTTTGACAAACATTAGCATGGCGTTTCAGGCGGTCTTTTTTTTAAATTATTTATTTTTTCTGCCTTTGATGATACAGGTCGTATTACTCGGAAGAGCATGAGGGGAGAGGGTATTCACATTGACACTCTTCAAAAAGTAAGATACAGAGAGAGATGCAACTGCTTTTTTTTTCTTTTTCCCCTTTTCAAATACCCGCACAGAGTTGGACCGTGGGTGAATCTGCGTATTGGTCTGTGTTTTGGCCATTTTGGCTCTCTCGTTGGCCCCCTTTTTGATGGGCTTGATGCCTCTGTTAAGTTCAAGTAGGCTCGCATGCAGAACAATCAGAATAAAAAACAAATGCATTGAATCAGTTGCCCTGGCCTGGCCTCTGCTCTGACATGTTGGCCACCACGATGATGACAAGTTTATGTAATTACTTGTTCATGAAAGAACGAAGGAAGAAAAAGAAAAGGGGGGTATTTTGTTACATCTCGTCCATCCTTTTGCTTGCCACCATGCATGCATGCATTCATTCCCCCACCCCTCCCCTTTTTACGAACTTAATCCAGCTCGAGTATGGCCCTCCGGCTCGCATCCTCGTGCACCCAGCTGACGATCCGGCTGCCCACGTCCCCGACCAGCCTGTCGTACTGCGGGCCGGGGAAGAACAGGCCGCAGTGGGCGCCGACCTCGTCCGTGTCGGCCATGTAGATGGGGACCCAGGTCTCGTCGGCGGCGCCGTTGCGCTTGCCGGGCAGGGTGCAGAACTTGCGCTCCTTGGGGGGCTTCTTCTTCTTCTCCTTCTCGGCCTCGGCCTTGGGCTTGCCGCCTGCAGGTGGTGGTGTAGCCGTAGCCGCGTGGCTCTCGCCCTCGGGCGGCTGGTCGACCGCTGCCGTCGACGACGACCCCGTCGCCGAAGACGGCGTGGCAGTATTATCCTCCTCCTCCTCCTCCTCCTCCTCCTCCTCCTCCTCCGCCGCCGCCGCTGAAACCTGATGCTGCTGCCGCCGCGCCGCCTTCTGCCTCCTCTCCTTGTCCTTGTCCTTGTCCTTGTCCTTGTCCTTGTCCTTGTCCTCCTTGTCGCGCCTCTTCTGCTCCTCCCTCAGGCGCTTCTCCGCCTCCTTGTGCGCCCGCCTCTCCCGCTTCTCGACCAGCTTCGCGCGCTCCCGGAGGGCCCTGTCGCGGTCCTTGACGGCCTTGTCGTACGCCTTTTGCACCCGCCTGCTCTCCTTCTCGGCCTGCTTGCGGGCGTCCTTGTCGGCGATGCCGGCCAGGTCCGGCAGCTGCGGCGGGGGCGGCGCGTCCGGGATGGGGGGAAGCAGTACGGACGTGGATGGCGATGATGACGATGGCGGCGGTGCCAGTCTGAGTGTGGTGCTGGTGGTGGGTTCCTCCGGGTCGGCTGGTGTGGCATCTTGTTGTTGCTTGGGGTCTGCGGGCGACTCTTCTTCTCCTCCGGTGACTTCCGCCGCAGCAGGGGTAGCGCTGGCATTGCCCTCCGCGCCGCCCGAGCGGAGGGGGTCGGTCTGGGAATACGGGGGCGGGTGGCCGTCGGCGGCCGGCGAGATGGTCTCCAGCACCTGGACCCGCGCGCCGTCGCTGTGGTCCTCGACAGAGATCCTCGGCGTGGACGACGACCGCGAGGCCGACCCGCCGCCGCCGCCGCCGCCGCCGCCGCCGCCGTCCACCGAGCTGCGCGCCGAGGCAGACGGCGAGCCTGCTGCTCCTCCTCCTCCTCCTCCTCCGACCGAGGCCCGTTCAGCCGGCTTCAGATGCGTGCCCGCCCGGGGCCTGCTGCCGGCGCCGCTGGGGGACGGGCTCCGGCTCCGGCTCTTGTCCTTGCCCTTGTCCTTGTCGTCCTTCTTGATCCGCCCCGTCGAGAGCGTGTAGTAGTTGACGAAGCGCACGCGGGCAACATCCGCCCTCCTGCCGCTGCTACCCGCCGCCGCCGCGGTAGCAAAGTCGTCCACGTCCTCGAGGCGGCGGAGGCGGGTGTAGCGCTGGTTCATGCCGACGTAGTCGGCCAGGCAGGCGCCGAACTCGAGGTGGTTGACGATGTGCTGGCGGGCGGCGCTGACGATGCCCTCGGGCTGGTGCTTCTTGGCGAAGTGGACCATGTTGCTGAACCAGCCGCGGTCCTGCAGCAGGCGGTCGTTGAAGAAGGCCGGGTTGAAGTAGGGGTCCGACGAGCTCTGCGCCTGCGCCTGCGACGATGACGACGACGACGTCGCGGTGTTGTTGTTGGTGGTGGTGGGGGACAGCACGCTGGAGCTTGCCGGGGACTGGACGCCCGAGAGAGAGGTCATCTCGTTGTAGAGCGACGGGTCTGGCGAGATCGAGCCGGACACGTTCTGGTTCAGGGTCAGGCCGTCCATGCCCTGGGAGGCGGCGCCCGCCACATCTGGCTTTGGCTCTGGGGCCTTGCGGAACAGGCTCGCGATGCCGGAGACGATGATGCCCGGGTGAAGGCCCAGGAAGGGCGAGTCGAGCGATATCGTGCCTAGGATGCGGTGCTGAAAGGGGTAGTCCACTTGCGGATCTTCTTGAGGCTGACCTTGTATATCAGTAATCATGCGTGATGGTGTCTTGAGAGAGAGAGAGGAGTTTTTGCAACGAACCATCAACACCACTTCGGCAGCGAGCAGGCCGCCCATCGAGTGGCCGACGAGGACGACGTCCGTGTCGCCGTGCTCGTGGGGCGCGAGCCAGTCGCCAAAGTTGTCGCGGGCGACCTCGATGGCCTTGTACGTCTTGTAGCGCGGGTAGATCTTGGAGTGGACGACGTGGGTCTCGGCCAGCGCGGCCCGGAGGAAGCCGTGCACGTGGGCCGGGAACGAGCGGAAGGAGCTGTCGTTGCCCATGAAGCCGTGGACGTAGACGACCAGGAGCGTGCGCCTCGCGCCGGCGCCGGCGCCGGCCTCGTCCAGGGAGGGGACCAGGGACTGCGTCGACGAGGTGCGGGGGTCGTCGCGGGAGCGCCAGAGCGCGTGCGCCGGCGCGTCGTCTTCCATGTAGGCCGTCGGGGTGAGGACCTGCAGCGACGAGCGGCTCGACGATGGCGAGAGCCTCCCCATGGTGATGTCTCCGAAGGGGTTTGTCCACAGGGAGTTATCAATGATCAAATGTTCTGGGGGTCTATTGATATCACAGTTTGGTCTGTGTGTGGAGGAAGAGAGAGGGGCTTCAAGATTGCGATGCGGTCATGGCACTGTGAGTGCTGAGATCAAAGGCATTCATGAAATGCGAGTTTTGAATTTGATGATCGGAATCCCATCTGTTTGCATATTGTGACAAGAAGCTTCCCATGGCAAGCCCCTGATGGCAAGATTATTGAGGTTCTAGCATGTAGTTGCGTTCATTCTGTTGAGCTCCCCCGCAATCAGGGGCGCTAATACAATAGGTGTGGACGTCAAAAGAGCCTACCTATTACAGCGTGGCCAACAGTACACGCCTGCGCCAGGACAGTGACGTGGCCGTGTATCGCTGCCAGGTTGCTGTTGTCATTGCCTCATTATTGTTTCCTATGAGATAATCATGAAACGGGATTCCCAGATTCTGCTGGACAGGACCGAGTTGATGAGATGACGGGCGAACAAGTGCGTGAATGAACAACCGCAAAAAAGAGAGAAAAAACTTGGAAACAACCTTGCTCGTCAGGTTTCTGACGGGGAACCAATCATCCGGATGACCACATGATTTGTTCTGAACAAAGAGGTTGAGATGTCATTCCCAGGATGTTACCGCAACCCAGCATCGGTACTGGGGAATTCTAAGCAGACAAGTTCTCTATCATTGTAACAGAATTGGGCAAGGTAAAGCATCGGGAACTAAGGCATGTACCGAGACGACAAAGTTTACCCAGCGAGCCGACCAGGTATCTATCGTCATCCCGTCTTGTCGATGTCGCTTCCGGTGGCGTGGCGTCCACCCCAAATGGCCCCGGGGACCCTTGAGTGATTGTCCTGAGCCAGGCATGCAAGGGGTGGTGCACCAGCAGAGGAAACACACGCTCGACACGCTCTAGACCATGCACTCGTGGTGGAGCGAAGCAACGGTTACCTTGTCGGCTGCAGAACAGCAAGCAAGCCGGACCCTGCCACGATGGACTGGTCCGAAGTGAGGACGACATTAAAGGACCTGCGGGCATCCGCTCCCGCACCCGTACGTCGACTGTTGCCCGCCGCACCAGGCCAACTGCACTGCTCCCGTGCTGTAGGTAGCACACGTTGAAATGCGAGGCTTCGATAATTGTGCCTCTGCATGCAAACGACGATGGAATGGCTGGACCTTGTGGCCGACCACTGCCTGCAGGTCATTCCACACAGAGTCGTGAAGCATGCGGCCGGTTTTGCTTTGTTATTTTAGGGTGCGATTCTCGCGTGGCCCGTGTTGGGGGGGGGAGGGGGGCGCTATTAATTTTGGGGCGCGGCTTGGCATTTTGGCACAATCTGTGCCTGAATACGAACTCGGGGTGTTTTCTCTCTTCTGTCTTCTGTGCTTTCGGGAGCTAGACCGAAGCCAGAGTGCACATGCTGCTGGACTTGGCCAGGTCTAGTCCACCAAGCCAAAAGAGCCACAAACGGGAAAAGTAGAGCCATGGGGGCCATCAATGATGGAGTTTACGTACCTAACCTAACTACAGATGGTGATGGTGATGGTGCTGTGCTGGTGGAGTTGAACGCTTTGGACACCTCTTGTGCGTTAGGCGATGACACGCTGTTTTAGCTCGCTGAAGAACAGCAAAGTTCCAGGGTTCGGAGCGCACAGAGCACCCCCAAACGGCGCTATTCACCCGCTATCTACGCCATCTCGGCGGGAAGGGAACTTGCAAAAATCAATGGTCTGTTCACCTGCATTTTCACAACGCTTCCGCTCGTCTTCAAGCTCCACTCACTGTACAAGAAGCCAAGAGGCCAGAAAGAGCCCCCATCCAAGGTCCGGTGCGTCTGTCCAATCACCAGCGGCCGGCTGCAGGGACCCCGGCCAAGCAGCCAGGAACCGGCGGTGGTGATTGGGCAATGGTCGATACGGGTGCCCGTTCTTAGCACCATCGCCGCCAGCCGACTCCACAAGCGAGATTGGGCCGTGGGACGGCCTGGACGGCCTTGTCAGAAAACGGAGTGGAATGGCGAGTCCTGGCCCTGCACTGGCAGGCATTTTGGTCTGATCTTTTTGCTCTGCGCTTCCCAACCAAACCCCAAATGGAAAAGGGCCCCCAGGCAAACACTCCCCCCCCCAAAAGTGTCCCCCTCGTCCAACACCACACACACCCATGACGACCAAGTCTGTCCACCCATCGCCTCCAACGCTGCACACTCGCAATTTTAATTCTTTGTCGAGACCCTGTCTGTCTGTTTGCTTGTGGCCGCCGTTTTGTTTCGTTTAATATTGGCACCCCGAACCCCGTCCGACTGACGCAGGAAGCTCCCCTTCCTCCTCTCCTCTCCTTTCCCTCCTCCACCTGCTGACAACCGCACGGCACGTCGATGCACACGGCTTCCCTTGTTCGTCCCCTTTCCACGACGACGAGTTGGTGAAGGAGAAGTGAGGGCCAGACAGAGACAGACCGACGTCAAGAGCAGACAAAGAGAAAGAGGAAGCTAGCGGGACCGAGAAAAACCTCAAAAGGAGGAGATACTTCGCACGCGGAAAGCCACCCCTAAAGGCTCAACTCGACTTTCACGATCGCCATTCACTCATTTTCGTATCGGCAACACCTCGTGGACGAGAACCATGCAATGACGACCCGGCCGACGAGCATGGACTGCGCCGACCGATTAAACACATAGCAGCAGTTGCCTGCCATACGAGCGCACAGCCCACAGAGAAGCCTGCTAGCCAGTCTCTGCTCCTAGTCTTCTTCGTTCTCGTCGAATACGGATCGCCGCCGCCGCAGATGCGCAGCCTCCGACGATAGTCCTTGCCCCCTCCCCCCAAAAAACACAGCACCCATTCCCACGTTCGTTTCGCAACTCCGCCACGCGCGATGACTAACCACGCTCGCGGGTCTTCACTCCTTCAGACCCGCAGATCTCACATCCACCGTCATTTACATGACCTACGACGCAGCCTGCATCACGTACACCACCCTCGTGATGTCCGCGAGCCCGCCACTCCTTCTACTACCACCCACGAGCAGATAGAAATCCGCGAGTACCCCGACCTGGCTCACCCGGACCACCCCGTCGTCACCCAGGTCGTTCAGACCGTATCGGTCGTCCAGTACGTCGATGGCAATGGCGCCACCATCGATGTCAGCACCGTCTACTCCCCGCCCAAGACCCAGGTCGTGGATCAGTTGACCGGCGTCACCATCGAGAAGCCTTCGGACAGCGCCCTCCCCACTACTCCTGTCCCTGTGCCTTCTTCTCCCCCACACGATGGCACCGCCGCCTCGACAAGCTCCAGCCCTTCCAGTCAAGAGGCTACGCCTCCTCTGACGTCCTCTCATTCGTCTTCTTCGGCCTTGCCTTCGTTGTCTGCTGCTACCAATTCCAGCACCAGTATGTTACACAGATTATCTTGAGCCGCACTCACGGCATGGATGCTAATCATGAAACCAGGCTCTTTTATACCACACTTTAACAACAGCACGTCAGTGTCACATTCACTCTTTGCCAACTCGACTCGGACGACGTCTTCCTCGTCCACTCCTTTCTTTCACTCGTTCACTTCTAGCTCTTCCAGGAGCAGCTCTACGGCGGACGATGGTTCGTTCACCATTTTCGGCGGCGGTCCTACCTTGACAGCGGAGCCGACCCTACCTGCCACTGCTTCTTCTACGGCAGGCTCGGGCTCGGGCTCTACCCAAGCCACGCCAACCAGCACGGTTGTCGGCGGAGTAGTAGGAGGCGTTGCCGGCCTGGCCCTTCTTGTCCTCGGGGCTCTTTTATTGATGCGGTGGAAGAGGAGGCAGAACGGTGTTCGCCTGTTGGGTGACGGGGACGCTCCTGCCTCGAGGAGTCTTGGTGGGCCTGGAGGGCCGTTTGGCACGTTTGCAGAAGCGAGTGGTGGCGGAGGAGGAGGAGGAGGAGGAGGAGGTGGAGGTGGGAGCGGCAGCGGCAGCGGCAGCGGCAGCGTTCCAATGGCTGAGCGGGGTCTCCCGTTCGCCATCCCGGCGACTCTTGCTGCTCTCTCGGGCTACAAGCGGAGCTCACAGGCGACCTCGGCCGGCGGAACGGATTCGAGTGAGAGAGGCTTCGCGCGGATATCTGGCAGAAAACTACCCTCGGTCCTCCAGCACGGAGGCGACGGCTTCAGCGACCCGCATGAGAGCGTGCTCAGCGGGCAGTCTTTCTACCGCGACTCTCACGGATTCTGGGGCGGCGACGGCAGTCCTCGTTTCGCGCTTGGTTCTCCCATGCGCCCGGAGAGCGGTATCCCTGTCATGCAGCCGGGCCCGATCAGGACGCCGGTCACGGAGCAAGGACCGATCTTTGAACATTCTCCGACCCAGAACTCCCCCGGCCGGAACTCCCCGGGCCTGAGAGGCCCGGCCTCGCTCGACCCACTCGGACGAACACATATATCGCAGGACGGATCGCGAGGCTCAGGCTCGAGATTCACCGAGAACATATGACGACCACCCGACACGCCCTAATGCCTGCAACTACCTGTCCTCCTATTTTTCTGCCCGCTATCTCTGAAAAGCTCCTGTATATGGTTGTCTCATTTTCACACACACACACAAAACCGTATCATAATGTCTGTTGGAATCATGGAAGAGCCCCAATCCGGGTCCGAAAGGATCTGACGTTGGACTTTTCTTCACACAAAGCATTTGGCCTGGCGTTTCATTCCGTTTGGATAGCACCCATTTTCTGGCACGATTCTCCTTGCGCGCGCGAAGGAAAAGAAGATGAGAGGAGATGAGCAAGATGGAAGAGACGGCACCGTCTGGCCCTGGACTGGCCCTCTTGACAGCTTGGCTCACAGAGTGCCTCCTTGTCACACTGGTAGCTCTCCGTCTTACCAGTTGTTGTTCTGCTTGTACATATAATTCGAGATCTTCTTTTTCTCGTCGTGTTATAGACCCTTTGAATCTAGACACGTAATTTTTTTTGGCGAAGTTTCTTTTCCCCTGATGGCTGAGGAGGAGGACTCTTGATCTGTTTCGTTGCATTGACTGCTGAGCTCATTTGATCATCGGCTCGTATGTTCAAATTCTTGTCAGATCACGGCATGATCTCCCGGGTTTCTGGCTCATCCAACACCTACTCTCGCCACGGCCGGCCTGGAGCTGTCAAGGCCTGCTCGACCGGACTCGATGCGAGCCTGGTTGACAGCCTTGACCCCACCTCGACCACGGACGGCCACCAACGAGTTCGTCCAAAGAAAAGCCCTCCCATAGTGTCATAAGGGCAACGGGGCAACGGGGCCCAGCGAAGGATGCTTTAAAGTAATAGCACGTGTCAGACATGCGCAAGACTGATCTGCGGTGCGTCTGGTACGGGGCCTTTTTACTTTGGGCATTTTTGAAAAGGAGGGCCGGCTTTCCATGTATACCATGTAACGAGGGGTACAAGTGGTCTCCCAGTCTCGATAAGCAAGCAGTGCCGGGACCCTCCCCCCCCCCCTTCAGGTTGGGATGATCTTGAGACAGATGTGAAACGCAGAACAGAGGTCTTTTTGTCGCGGGCCGCTCGGACTCAAACTATGACAAATTGAAGTTCTGGCTTCCCGGCTAAGAAAGGAGGGAAAATGTTTCGCTAATCACTTTTTTGTCCTTATTTTTTTCTGATGCGGCAGCCGCCCGAGGAAACGTGTTTATCAGAGCAAGTGGTCATTGACTGGTATCGTGTACGATGGCGGTACAACAAGTGCACGCGAGCGGAGGTCGCGGTAGCAGTGTGGACAAGTTGGAGTTCCTCTGCGCTCATTCGAAGCGTGTCCGGTTCACCGGCAGTTTTTGTGTGTGTTTTGCCCGTGTAGCTGTTTTGCCCTACGGCGAGCCTCTTATCATCCGAAGAAGCTTAAGGCGACCGTTCAATCTTGAGCCCTGTTTTGAGACTACGACTGCCTGCGTTGCGCAACATTTACTCCCCCTACCTACCTGGGCAGGTACTTCGTGGAGGGACCCTTTCCCCCTTGGAACGAAACCCGATTCCGGCAGTGTTTCGATGCCAAGACCTCAACTCCTGCCGGAGCAGGGGTTGGGGGGCCTTCTTGGACGGTGGAGCGCTCTCGTCTCAAGATTCTTGGAGGTCTCAACTTACAACGAAGCCTCAACGACACTTGCTCCACTCAGGTACTAACCTCCCTCTCACGGGCCTCCGAGCACACGGCTTGTGAAGTAGGTACTCAAAGACAAATGAAATGGCCGATGAGCAAAAGGTATCTCAGCTCAGCAAAGATCCAAGGCCTTTTGCCTGCTTTGATTGCTCGGCCGCTCGCTGACCAGCTGAGAAGAAATGTCCTCGGCCAGTCCGCAGTGTAACCCGAGGAGCAACTTTTTCAACATCCCCGCGTACGTCAGCTGGGAATGAAGCATATCAACCCACGGAAGGGGGGGAAGGGTTCGTTCGTATCGTGCGCACTCGGCCTTCGCCGGGCGGCCTCTCTCTCTCTCTCCACAATGGACACAGGCCAGCTCTGTTCATGGAGGTCTCACCTCACACAGAACAGGGGGCCGCATGCCCCGGATCTCGGAGTGAAGCCAGGGTTGGCTTCCCGGGGGCAGGAGCCGTCACACAATGACATATCAAGGTAAAGGTAAAAAGAAGAAGAGAAAAAGTCGAGATGGGCCCACAGGCTGGCTTTGACGTCAAACGTGTCTGCCTGTCAGGATCTAGGACGTCTTGGGAAGAGAGTTCAATGCGATCCGTACGTGGCGATCTCTCTCTCTATCATCAGGTGGTGATTTTCCATCCCCAGAGTGATTTGCCTCTTGCGATCACCGGAACCGATGAAGGGGTATCACGGCTCAGGATGGACACGACATAATTACTTCTCTCTCACCCTCTCTGTCCGGGCTTTGGGACACGGCTGGGCCAAGGCGCCACGGCGTGGGTAGGACAGACAGATGTTTGCCTCAGAGGCTTGATTGCCGTGTCCGATTTGTCCGTAGCCTCCAGTCTGGCGTCTGAGCGCATCATCCATTGATAGTGCCCAGCGTATCACCATGGTGCGTGCTGTCAGGGGTCAGCTTTTGCGCGTTTGCAGTCCTCGTCTTCATTCCGCTTTTGCCATCTCTTTGCACTCCTGGTGGGAATTAAAGTAGACAGGCCAAGACAGACATGCACCAGTGATGTCGCGCGCGCGGCACGGCCTCTCTCTCGAGAGCAAACCCCGAATTTGCGAAGACCTAGGCCGGAACGGAACCCCCCATGCTCGTTTGGTACCATTCTTTTTTCCCAGCCCCAAGACCCTGTCACAGAGCCGCCGCCCGCTGGCCGCAGCGCAACTTTTTGCTTCTGTGTGGATGGATTACCAAGCAGCAAGTCATGGCAAGTCCAGGTCCCATCTGTGACCGGCATGGCGAAATGCATCTGCGGTCCACCACCACCCCCCCAAAAGAAGGAGGGATATGCACCGCCCTGGCACATACGTAAACCAGTGTATCAAGAGCCTCTCTCTCGCCCTATCGACGTGCCCTGTCCGTCCTCTTGTGGGTGTCTCTCTATTTGGATCGTGCAGTCCACCCACCCATGACAGCCTTGTTTGTGTGTGTGTGTGTGTGTACTGCGGCGCCCGCGCCCAGAAGCATTCCCGTCTCGTCTCGAACTTGTAGAAAAGAAGAGGAGCTTGTCACCTCTCCTCCCCCCCTTTCAGGGACTGCTTTTCCTGGGGTTGCGGCGCACGCACCCTCCACTAAGTTACGTACCTTACTGTCCATCCGTACAGAGAGACCTGGGCAGGGACTAAAGTAGCCCATTTTGTCACTCCACACGCTATCGTCGGAAGCCGTAGCGTTTTACTCGTGCCATCTTCTTATTTTCTTACCTGACCCTGACGCATCCCGACCATCCCGAGTCATCGTTTCTCAATTGCCTCTCTTTTGCGACGCTTTTCTTCCTCTCTCTCTTTTTTTTTTCTCTCTCTCTGTCTTTCTGTGACGTATCTTTCCTGCCTGCGCAACGGGTAGTAGCCTGTGCTAGATTGACGACGAACACTTGACTCTCCTTTCCCGCACACCCCCCCCCCAACGACTCTTCGCCTTATATCCTGCCCGCTCTCGGTTTTTACGGACACTCAGCCACGCCCGTCGAGCTAAGACGATTAGCGAGCAACTAAACTTTCTCCAACGAGGTGGCCGCCGCGACACCACCAGGGGACGTTCCTCCCTGTGGAATCTCCAGACTAGGCCTTGTGGAGGTCCAACTCTGGTCTGTAGCGGTCATAGGAGCAGACGCCTCCTCCGTCTAGTCTCTTGTTCCCAACGACTCGCCCGCCTTTATTAGCTAGCCGATCCCCCAACTTGTTAGTTCGGAGTAGCGTACTCGCTCTCTTGGTGGACACAATCGGACCTCCAACCTCTCCGACCACCGCCCCAACAACGCTCGACAGCTCTTGTTTCTTTCGCAACCGATCTGTGACGCGCCTGTGGTGTATTGTCATTTTGTTTTTTGAGAAGACTACATTTCTTCCTTTCTTCTCGAGGACCCGTGGTCTCGTCGCAAGGGGAAAAAAAAAAAAAGAAGCAACCCAGCTCCAAGCCCATGGATCACATACGCATGGACCCGGGCTTCCAGATGCCCGGGATGCCCGCGCCGCCGCAGCTGATCAACCAGCCGCCCCAGATCTTTGGGGGCTACGACGGGCTCTCGCTGCAGCAGCTGCCCCCGGACATGACGGCGCACATGTTTGGCGACCCCAGCACGCTGCTGGACGACGCGAACGAGGCCAAGCGGCGGAGGATAGCGAGGGTGAGTTTTTTCCCCCTCTGGCCTTGCAGATATGCCTTGCAGATACGCCCCCTCCCGGAGCTAGAGCTGCAAGGGCCCCGTCGTCGTGTCCGAGTCCGGTCCGGAAACGGGCTGGCCCAGCTACTGATTGTCACATGGGTTTTGGTTTGGTTTGGACTATGGCTAACTTGCGTCTGGTTGGGTCTCAATATAGGCTTGCGACATGTGCAGAAAGAAGAAGATCAAGTGCGACGGCAAGCTGCCCGCCTGCACGCACTGCATCAACTACAAGACGGAGTGCGTCTTCACGCAAGTCGAGAAGAAGAGGAGTCCGCCGAAGGGGTATGTTTTTTTTTTTTTGTGGAATAGGCCCTCTGCTCTTGCACATTGCGCTACAAGGTTTTGGGAGAAGCTGACATGCTGGTGTAGAGCCAAATACATCGAGGGACTAGAGAATCGGCTGGGCCGTATGGAGAGTCTTTTGAGGCTATCGGGTGAGTCGTCCCTCATGTACCGGTCGCACGAGACTGCTGCGCCTGAAGCAATGGGCGGCACTGCGTGAAGACTCCGAGGATCGAGGGGCTGACATGTTTTCTCTAGGCTTGCTCGGCGACGACGACAACGGGGCGACAGATCTGGGAACGCTGGAGAAGAAGCTGGCGGAGAAGACCAGAGAGTCGAGGCAGGCATCCCAAGCGGCGCTTTCGAACCCGACATCTCCGTCGCAGACGGCGTCGGCGCAGGACGAGAAGTCTACCCCGCAGAGCGCTCTGACGTCGCCCGAGCCGCCCAAGGATAAAGACAACAACAAGGAGGAGAACCGCAAGTCGATGACCTCGGACAGGCCCGAGAAGGAAGAGGAGGAGGTCGAGGCGCTGTCGGAGATGATGTGCTCGCTGGTGACCAACAACTGTGGAGAGACGCGGTATATCGGGTCGTCCTCTGGTTTCTCCATCTTCTCCCCGAAGGGCATCCAGTGGGTCAACGAGAAGACCGGCGACGCCTCTTTCCAGCAGATGATCTCCGACGTTTCCCTCGAGGACCACAAGTGGCACAACTGGAAGCCGGAAGTCTTTTCTGATCTCTTCAGCCGACCCGTCTTCCGGCCGCTGCCTCAGAAGCCCGAGGCCATGTCGTTGTTGAAGGACTACTTTGAGAACTTCAACTGCATGTTCCCGCTGTTCCATCAGCCAACCTTCATGTACCTGGTCGAGAGGCAGTACTCGGACGACCCGTACGAGGGGTCTGGCTGGTGGGCTAGCTTGAACGTCGCCCTCGCCATCGCCCACCGACTTCGCGTGATGAGCAAGCTGGTCCCGGCCGAAGAGGACGAGAAGGCGTGGGCCTATCTGAAGAACGCCATGGCCGTCTTTTCCGAGCTGACCATGCGCAACACCGATCTGCTGAGCGTGCAGGCCCTGCTAGGAATGGCCTTGTTCATGCAGGGAACGCCGAACCCCCAGCCGTCATTCCTCTTGATCGCTGCAGCTATTCGGTTGGCTCATAGCATCGGGCTTCACAAGCGCGGCACCGGCTTCAACCTGAACCCTATCGAGATCGAGCAGCGCAAGAGAGTGTTTTGGATTGCGTACATGCTGGACAAGGATCTGTGCCTTCGCTCGGGGCGGCCGCCCGCACAGGACGATGACGACATGAATGTGGACCTGCCCGATGCCGATCCGGAGGACAACATTGGCAATATCCCCTTGTCTGACGGCAAGGGCAAGATGAACCTCTTCAGGGTCCTCTGCGAGTTTGCCTTGATCGAGAGCAAAGTCTACAACCGGTTATACTCGACAAAGGCGACGAAGCAGACCGACGGGGAGCTCCTCAACACGATTGGCGAGCTGGACCAAGAATTGGAAGAGTGGAAGGACCGCATCCCGATCGACTTCAGGCCCGAGCACGAGATCAAGGCTTCGCACACGCCATTGATCCTGCACGTTGTCATGCTGCACTTCACATACTACAACTGCTTGACCACCATTCACCGCATGTCGATTCACCATGGCTTCTGGACCAGTCGCCTGTCTAATTATGCCATTCAGGGCCTCAACACGCGGCCGCTGAACCCACGGGTGTACTCTTCGGCGGCGCTGTGCACGTCTGCTGCCCGGGCGTCGATCTCTCTGCTCAAGTACATCCCTCAGGGTGACTTCCAGTGTGTCTGGTAAGTTTTGCAAAAAGCGCAGCTCGAATTTCAGGATGAACTATGTCTAACTTTTTTTTTTTTTTTTTTTTTTTTTACAGGTTGATATTGTATTTCCCAGTTTCTGCACTGGTAACGCTGTTCGGAAATATCATTCAGAACCCGATGGATCCGAGGGCGCGGTCGGACTCGAGGTTGATGAACCTGGTGGTGACGTTCCTATCCATGCTGGGCCAGGAGGCCGAAAGCGGCGGTGTTCACCGCATGCTCGGCGTGTGCTCCGAGTTTGAGCGCATCGCGAAGCTCGTCATCGACAAGGCCGAGAAGGAGAACGCGGGGCGGAGAAAGCGCAAGAGCCACGACCCCAACACGGCGGCCAAGCCCGCGGGTACGCCGGCGGCCGGCGCCAAGCCGGCGGCGACGACGCAGACGCCGCGCCCGTCGTCGGCGAGCACCCCGAAGCCGCACGTGCAGAACGCGACGCCGGGCAGCACCGTCAACGGGCAGCTGTCGCCGCCGCTGCAGCAGCAGGACGCCCGGTCGGTCAAGAGCGGCTTCAGCCCGCTGGCCTCGACGATGAGCCAGCAGTCCTCGCCCGCCATGGCGCCCACGAGCTGGCAGGCCTCCTCCGACTTTGCCTCCGCCATGAACGGCGGCGGGGGGCCGCCGGACTTTTCTTCGCAGTTTGGCGACATGTCCGGCTTTGCTTCTGGGCTCGCGGGGGGCCTGCACTCGCCGGCCATGCAGAACGGCATGTTTGGGCAGCCCATGCTCCCGCAGGACCTGTTCTCGCTGCCCATGACGCTCGACTGGGACTGGGCCGAGATGAGCGGCGGCGCCTACCCGAGCATTGAGAACGGGGCGCAGCCGCGGTGATTTCGCAGGGAAAACTTGTGTGTGTTTTTATCAGAACTTTGCAGGAAACGAACAAAGCGCGGTTTCTTCTTTTTTTTTTTTTTTTTGCTGGTATATATCCTATATGTTGAGCTTTTCCGCATCGTTTTTTGGGGGGGGGCATCTACGGGAGTTTTGCTGGTTGCAAGCAAAGCCATGTTTTGGAAGGATAATCTGATTCTGCACGGGCGAGCAATCTCCACCATTGATGGTCTTTGGTTTTCTTGTCTTTCCTGTTCCTTTGTTATTTCTCTCGTCTTTCTTCTTTCTTTCTCACGATGGATGGATGATACGGCTGAAACTCTTTTCTGTTTTGGAAATCCCAGGCATCCGAGGCGCCGGTCTGGCTGTGGGTGATTTTGAATGTCTTATAACTGTAGTTTACAAGGATGTGTCACTGGGATAGGGACATAATGGAAGCAAAATTGTGGCATAACACTCTGAACATATGGGACTACCAAGTGTATTTTGTGCAAATAAAGACAGAGCAGACAGTTTGTGCCTTACAGACTCAACGAGTCGTGACTCTGTGTGATCGTGCTTATCGGCGAGTCTGCACCGAGGCATCTCGGAGTTGACTAAGCCGCATCACGTGGTAGGACCAGCCGGAGGGTCCCCTAAACCCCATCCAGCCTAGTCGTCCCGGATCCAATCATCATCACGCCTCACAGGATCATTTCTTGAGCTTTCGCATGCCTTCTCCCCAGCTTGCGGATCTCTCAACCAACTCACACATTGGTGCACGACGCATCACCGGGAAACAAAGGGCTTTCTGCCCTGCGAGGAGAGTCTTTTTTCTTAATTGCAAGGAACCTAGCCGGACGACCCTCCCAATGAGATAGCGTCCGCTGCTTTTCCCCTTTGCACCCCTTCTTCCCGACCTTTTTTTTCCTACATCGTCTGATTTTCCGCGCCTTCCGCGCTGCCAACCCACCCAAGGAAGCATGACGACGCTCCTTCGCCCAAGCACGCGGCAAGTCGCGCGGCTGGCATCCCTGTCCTTCCGGACGACAGCGAGACCGAGCATCGGCATTTCGAGGTTACCCAGGTCACGGCTTCCCGCCTGCGCGCATCAAATACCGCGGTATTACTCGTCCGAGTCACCCAACAACAACAAGAAGCCCGAGAGCAACTCAAGTAAGAACAAGAAGGATGCCGAGGACAAGAACAAGGAGGTCAATGGCGCCACAAAGAAGGAGGAGGAGCCGTCCGGCGAGGATGGCAAGGTGAACGCGTCTGAGGTCAAGGAGGACACCAAGGATCCCCTCCCGCCCGGATGCGTCTACCTCAGCGACCAGGAGATCAAGGCGCTGATGGAGATGCTGTCGAGGGTGCCCCCAGCGCAGACAAAGTACGTGGGCGAGGTCATCCAAGACATCAAGAAATACGGCGCGCCCGTCGAGCTGCGGGAGCTGCTGCTCAAGTTCAAGGACCAGGGCCTCAGTGTGGCCGATACCATGAAGGTGCTGCGGACCACTCAGCTCCTAGCCCAGCGGCTTAACGAGGCGAAGAAGGGCAAGGCGACAGACGACATGTTCGACTCCAACGAGCCGCGGAATCCGTTCGCCTCGGGCCAACAGCAGCAGCAGCAGCAAGGCTCCGAGCAAGGACGGCAGGGCAAGGGTGGACCGAACAACAAGGACAACCAAGGACGACCCAGGGTGTTTGACGGCAGCGACTTTATGACGTGGGTTGTCGGCGCCATGCTCCTCTATCCTCTCTACTCCATGATCTTCCCCGGCGAGTCCTCCCGCGAGATCACCTGGCAAGAGCTGCGCAGGAACTTCCTGGACAAGGGTCTCGTTGAGAAGCTTGTCGTCATTAAGGATCGCGTGCGGGTCGAGCTCAACCGCGAGGCCACCCAGCAGATGTATCCTGACTCCGTCGCCGCCAACCCCAACTTCCACTACTACTTCACCATCGGCTCCGTCGACGCTTTCGAGAGGAGAGTCGAGGAGGCCCAGGATGAGCTCAACATCCCGCCCTCCGAGAGGATCCCGGTCGCGTACATGACGGAAGGCGTTATCGGCAGCTTTCTTCTTGCGTTTGGCCCTACCCTGATGATCGTCGGTCTCCTCTACTGGATGTCCAGGAGAGCTGGCGGCGGCATGGGCGGAGGCTCCAGCGGAGTGTTCGGATTCGGCAAAAGCAAAGCTAAGCGCTTCAACCACGAGTCTGCGGTCAAGGTCAAGTTCGCCGACGTTGCCGGCATGGACGAGGCCAAGCTGGAGATCATGGAGTTTGTCAGCTTCCTCAAGACTCCCGAGAAGTTCCAGAGGCTAGGTGCCAAGATCCCCCGCGGTGCCATTCTTGCTGGTCCTCCCGGTACTGGTAAGACGCTGCTGGCCAAGGCTACTGCCGGCGAGTCTGGCGTCCCCTTCTTCAGCGTCAGCGGTTCCGAATTCGTCGAGATGTTTGTCGGTGTCGGTGCTTCCCGTGTGCGAGACCTCTTCGCTACGGCCCGCAAGAACTCTCCCTGCATCATCTTCATTGATGAGATTGATGCTATTGGCAAGTCTCGTAGTGACGGCAGTCGGTTCGGCGGCAACGAGGAACGCGAGGCGACGCTCAACCAGATCCTGACCGAGATGGACGGTTTCAACACCTCGGAGCAGGTGGTCGTCCTCGCCGGCACCAACAGGCCCGATATCCTGGACAAGGCGCTCATGCGACCCGGCCGTTTCGACCGTCACATCAATATTGACCGGCCTACGATGAAGGGACGGCAGGACATCTTCAAGGTCCACCTGAAGAAGATCACGACGAACGAGGACCTTGAGTATCTGACTGGCAGACTCGCGGCCTTGACGCCTGGTTTCGCTGGCGCTGACATTGCCAATGCCGTCAACGAAGCCGCACTCATTGGTAAGGGCTCCCTCACCCCCTTTTAATCATTTACCTTGGTCCATTCATTTACTAACTAGCCTGATGATAGCTGCCAGAGCCAACGCTACCAGCGTCGAGATGATCCACTTTGAGCAAGCCATCGAGCGTGTTATTGGCGGTCTCGAGCGCAAGTCTCTGGTCCTCAACCCCGAGGAGAAGCGCACCGTCGCCTACCACGAGGCCGGCCACGCCATCTGCGGCTGGTACTTCAAGTACGCCGACCCCCTGCTCAAGGTCTCCATCATCCCCCGCGGCTCGGGCGCCCTCGGCTACGCCCAGTACCTGCCCCAGGGCGACGCCTACCTGATGACGGTCAACCAGCTCATGGACCGCATGGCCATGACCCTGGGCGGCCGCATCTCGGAGGAGATCCACTTCCCGACCGTCACCTCGGGCGCCAGCGACGACTTCCGCAAGGTGACGCGCATGGCGACGACCATGGTGACCGAGTGGGGCATGTCGGAGAAGCTGGGGCCCCTGCACTTCAAGCGCGACCAGAACGAGCTGCAGAAGCCCTTTGCCGAGTCGACGGCGCAGGTCATCGACTCGGAGGTCCGGCGCATCGTCGACGAGGCCTACAAGCAGTGCAAGGACCTGCTGCTCGCCAAGAAGAAGGAGGTGGGCATCGTGGCCGAGGAGCTGCTGCGCAAGGAGATGCTCACGCGCGACGACATGGTGCGCCTGCTCGGCCCGCGGCCCTTTGCCGACAACGACGAGTTCACAAAGTTCTTCAACAACGAGGGCGGCGGCAAGAGCGCGCCGCCGCCGTTCCCGACCGAGAACACGGACGAGAGCGTCAAGGGCCCGCAGCCTGCTGTTTTTCAAGGTCGGGGGGAGGAGGCGAGGTAGATGGATGGATGGATGGATGCTGCGAGGAGGGGGGAGGGAGAGGGAGAGAGAGAGAGGATGCTCGCTCTTCCTTTCTCCATCATGAGTTGTCCCGAGGGGGGGAAGACAAGTTGAATGTCCAAGTGAAAACAAAAATATCAATGCTTTGAGGGGGGGGACAAGGCGAGGGGAAGGGAGAAGAAGAAGCCTTTCTTTTGTGCGGTTGCGTTCTCCCCTCGACTTTGTGGTGAGCATTTCACGGGGCGTATAAAGGAAAGGATAGTAGGGGGATTTGACCCCCTTCTCTCTCAGCTCTTACACATCACCACTGACCACCACACACGCGCACTCTGCACACGCACTCGCAACTCTTTGTCTGTTGCGTAAGGAGAGCCCCCGAGACGAAAAGCAAGGGCCATATCAGCATGTCGAGAGGGGGAAGAGGTGGATTGCGATAATGGGGGCATTGGCTCTCTCTCTCAGGGGAGGGGGGGCCGTGTATTGTAACATTTACTTTGTATCAAAAGAAGAATTCCACCCCAAGAGAATAGAAAGTTCACTCCAAAGCCTCCCCCCTGCGCTGCGGTCTTGTGTGTGTATCCTGACTTTGTCTTTTGTAATGTCTATGCTTGTCAAAATTTTCTATGAAGACCAATTGCACCCTCGTGGGTGCAAATGTGCATCTCCCGAGTCTTTGTCGTCCTACTCTTTGCACACAGTCGCAGAGAGGAGAGCCTTGATACAGGGCAGGGGCGTGTTATCGTAGTATTATCGAAGCTTTTCACCCGTGAACCTACGCTTCCCTGTCGTGATAGACAGGCGGGGAGGGGGGGGGGGGGGACCTACAAGGATATCCGTATCCCCGGATCTTCTACACCGACAGCCTACGGCACAGCATAGTCTCTGTGAATGTACATTGCCAGAACGGAGTAGCTATCGCCGCCCAACACCGCCGGTGCGGGCATGCCAGCCATGACGACGGCAGGTCGTCAGCAGTCAGCTGACCGAGCGGCAGAAAGGAGGAGAGAGGAGAGAGAGAGAGAGAAGGCCTATGGAACTTGTCCCTGGTACCTGAGACCTCGGAGGGGGCTTCCCAGTGCCAATAGGAGGACAAGGCATCCTTGTGCGCGTGGGTGCGTGCCTGGACCAGAAACTCTGCTGTTGGGGGTCGGCACTTGGGGGGGTTCGCGTCGGTTCGAGAGGTGTGGCGGATGCATCTGTCAAGCTCTAGCTCTGGCTCCGCAAAGCACAACCCACATGCTCTCATGTACATGCATCCCATCCCACGGGGTTCGAAGCCGTCAGAAGGAAGCCAAAACGAGCCAAATAGGGGGGTGCAAGACGTCCGCCGGGCTGCGGGCCCTCTGCGGGCCAGAAGAAGGGCCTGGCTCTGCGTGCGTGCATGCGTGCGTGGGGACGGGGGTCGTATAAACAGCTTTACTCGAGGTGGATCATGGCGTTTCCCAAGAAAAGAAGGTGATGATGATGGTCCATGGGCGAGCAAGGCCGGAGCCCACACCAACCTCCTCCCTCATTCTCGAGACGGGCGAATGGGAGAACGTCGTCGTTATTGCTCTGAGGGGGCCGAGACCGTCCCGGAGCTAGACACTTTACCCGCCGCAGCAAGCATCGCCAAAGGTTCCCGCCGGATGACGAAAAAAGACGGGGGGCCTCCTGCTCAAGAGGAGGACGGACACATCCTTGTGTGTGTCGTTCAGGACGGTCAAAGCTATTCAGCCACTCCCTTTTCCGCTCACCTCGCGTCCTCGAGATGCGTGGAGATGCCACTCGTCTGTCTCCACTTGCTATAGCAGTGCCATTTAATGTTATGGTTGAAGCTGTTCGGGCCTTCTAGCCCGCTGACAGGTTGGCGTGAAGAGAATGATGCTTGATCTCATGCCGGGGGCTGAATTTGATAACATGTCGCAATGCACACGCTCTCCACATCAAAGAAGACGAGCCTTGGCACAGTCGACAGCAAGAGCTATCAGGCTCCCTGATACCTCGTGTGCAATGGACCACTGCAACATGCTGGAACATGGCTGTCTCGTTTGATATGTGCCATGATTTGCATATGCGGTCCTGCACACCTCGCAAAAGGTGGGACACTCGGCTCCCCGGGATAGCTTGCTGAGTATAGTGGTCTCTAATGATCTCGTGAGTATCGGCGAGATATTGCAAGTGTGGTGGGCCTTTGCTCGAGTGTTCTGTATGGCCGAAATGTTGTTTCCTGATGGTGTAGAGACGGGCGAGGACAGGAAATGCGGCACAACCCCGACCTCAGCCCGGAGAACCACGTGCCAGTATATGCTAGCAAATTGGCTCTCATCTATGTCGATGAAAGCTTCTTCACATCGTTGTCCCAGGACTCGCAATGGCGAACTGGTCATGTGGCACCCTGCTTGTCCTTCCCAGTGTTGTCACAGTTGAAGCATGCAGAAAAGCCTTCCAGGGCCGCATTGGATCGGAGCTTGAGTCAAAGCTAACTAGCCATGCCGTGGGATATAATCAGCATCGTTCCCGATCAAGGCCACTGCCGGTTCCGTAGAGCAGAGTCTACCGTACGTCAGCGTTGAGATGAGCTGCCGAGACTTCCAGGCAGTGTACACAAAGGGCAGTTTCTGAAATGGATGCCATCAAGTCATGCCCTCCAGCTTCTGGCGGCGCCTGGCAACGAGTCCGACAAATGTTGATAGAGCCCTGGCTGTCACCTTTCACGCTTGGCTCTGAACGCGGCTTGATATTAAAACTTGCCTGGTGCATGGTGTTCGTTGTGTGTGGGGACTAGGTGGCAGCAAGCAAATCGAGCCGTTCGGCGTAATTAATTGGCTCAAGACGCGGAGTGATATATTGCGGCCAGTTCGACGGACCAAGCATAATCGGCTGGGTTGCTTATCCGCCGTGCTGGAGTTTTGGTGACTCATGACGGATCGTGAATACAATTGCACGGGTGGTATGTGTCAGAGTGAGGTCAAGCCTGTCGAGCAAGCTTCGTTGCTGCCGCGCCCTGCATGGTGATGTTGTATGTACCTGAGACTCTAGCCTGGTCCGGGCCAGTAAAGGAGCTTGGCCTGCCGCTGCGGCCAGGAGCGCTTGGGTGTTCAAAAGAAATGCGCTGCAGGCAAGTACCTACAGGCGAAAGCAGGGCATCGTAAGCAAAACACATCGCGACCAGTGCTCTGGCTGCCACACGTGCCTCCGGCGACAGTGGTGTGACCATAGCCAGTTTGCCGAGCCGGCTTTGTGCCGGCATGTTGCGTGATGGAGGGGGGCAGTCCAATCCGAATGGCCGACGAGGGCATCATATTCTGCCCCGTTGGAACAGCCGCTTGCATGAAGCGCGAGCAAGTGGGAATCCCACCCAAACCCGACTCGGTGACTTGCGAGGCAGGTGGCAGGACGAGGTGCTCTGGAAGTGCTACCCAGTCTTTCTGGTGTCGATAATTTTTGTGTCTCCTGCTTCTGAGTTCAATTAATGAGAACAGACTGGAATCGGGGGCCGTACGTGCTCCCGCCAGTCTAGGCAACATTGATGTGAATCAGATAGAGGGAAGGGAACTAATGGGAACTTACCCTCGAAACTATGAAAAGCTTGACCCTCCGTTCCTCGTACCATAGGAGACCATTAGAGAATAGGTGCTTTGAATAGTAGACAAGCTGTATCCCATCTCGTGTCCGGCGTCCCGGATGCGAAAGGGGCAGCTCGCAAAGCAATATCAAATATCAAATAGCAGGGCCCCTGTTTCCTTGGATCTGGTCTAGCTTCTAGATACAATGCATCACGAGCATCTTACGACGCGCCAGCTTGGTTCAAGACAGCGCAGACTCAGGCGTATAGGTGGACTAAGGGAGACAAGGCTGGTGCGTGTGACTGAAATCAACCGTGACTGTGTCTGCCACAAAGAGTGCGTTGACAAGGAATAGAGTTCGAGTTGTAAGAGGCTGAGCACCGGGAGATCCTGAATCAGGAATTCCGACGACCTAGGCTGAAGGCATGTCTTGAGGTGCCAAACAATAAACGTCTCAGACTCAGAATCGGGTTCGGGATCTTGAGCTTGCGCATTCCGTCTTATCACACCGTATGATTTGTGATCACAGAGGCCGCTGAAGTAGAACTGCACGAAGAGGTTTGCCTTAGTGAAGGATATGGAAAAACATTGGCTGGCTGCAAAGCGGGTGTAGGGGGGAGCGGAGGCTATGAAGAGTTTCAACGAGTTCCTCGCCGTGTTGCTAGCAGAGTAATTATCCAGCCTTGACCGGGAAAGGAAAGCAAATCTCGGAGAGCTTGCTTCGGACCAAATATGAAGGATTGCAGTTGTGCCAGAGTCAACGTAGTGAGCAGAAAACCATCCTGGGAAGATGCCGCTGATTGTGAGCGGCGAAGGGTACCGGAGGATGCCAAAGATATCAAGAGAGTGGGAAGTCAGGATGAGCACAGGGATTCCAGGTGCCGACAAGAGCACTCCCTGGTCGCAGCTGTACAGTTGCTGCAGGTGGTAGCCGCCGACATGTGAAGATCCTCCGGATCGCCGCCCACAGTTCGACACTGGTACCAGAGATCGGCAGCGGGTGGAGGGTTGACGAGCACAGCGGTTGCATATCAGTGAAAGACTGATCCTCGAACAGATTCCCAGACCTGGAGAGTCTGTGCTATCAACCTTTGAAGGTGAACATGCACCTGGGCCAGTCCAAGCTTTGGCACGATGCATGCAAGGAGCCGAGAGAGGAAGTGCGATTGTCAGAAGCCTCTCGGCATTGTGGCAGTGACGCCACAAGAAACGCCTGAGTCGGCACCGAGCCTGAGGATCTCCGACTCAATCCCCATGGGGGAGCCGTCCTCCTGTCCGGCTGAATGCATCACCCTGTCGAGTTCTGTGAGTGAGACCAGAAAAATGCGGAAAGAAAACATCAAAATATAAAACGAAGAAGACCGGACTCGACAGAGTAGAATAGCGAGCGTTCTGCAACAAACCTGAATGTAAAGGACGGACTTGCAGTGCATGTATATACCGTATAACTGC